GCATTCAATGCACTCAGTTCACAGCGGATCCAACTTAGCACTCAAAAACGTTTTTCTAAAGTAAAACGATTGCTAACTTGTTAGGCTTACGCGCAAATGCAGAGGTATCGATAGCGCAAATACTGTAGTCCCTTTCTGTTCAGGTAGCTCAGTCCGTCGGCCCCGGCAAACACTTCAAACGCCAGCAAGACATACATCCCGCAGTTAAAACTGTCGACCTGAACACCTAGATTTCCACGATAGGGAGAGACACGATACTGTCGTGGGGCGAAATTTGACAGCTGGGTCACTATCTTCTCAGTAAGTGCTCGGACTCCAACCATGTATGTAGAATCCATTGGGTCGTACACGATTGCCTCTGTGCGCTCCACATCCACCATAATACCACACCAATGGTTCTTGTTGCAGCATACAGGGATCAGAATTTTCTCCTTCGACAAGTTCTTGAACATATCCGCGAATACCGTCATCGGGCCTGAGACAGCACCATGTTCTATTGGACCGATCACATTTGTATCCAGAGTTATAATACTGGCTTTGGACTCGAAGAGCGAGGACATAACAAAGCCCATAGTATCGTTGCTTAGTTGAGTTTTCCCAATGAGGTCCAGTATTTCCGCCTTAACTCACATTAAGGAAAGGTTAGCATGAGCTAAAACGATTGTGTACAACGACAAAATACATCCATTTGATGACAACAGGGGGATAGCCTTCAGTTTTGCTGGAAGAATGGACTGCTCTCTGACTTTAAACGACTGCGGCATGGTGACATCGAAATCAATACTCTCCGCCCAACTCAGACCTCTCTCGATAAGTTTAATGGATTTTGTAGCTATATGCCATTTCTTCATGATACTCACCGTTCTTGTTGAATACAAACCAATCCCAGCAATATCCAGCACCACATCCTGTTCGCGTAGTCCTTTGTATTTTGCTTGCAGTTTTGCGACTTTTCCACTGCATGTTCGAATTTGTTCGGGACGTAAAGCTCTCGTTATAGAGTCCGATTGTATAATAGCTTCGTTGGTGGTAGGCCGGATACGGTTCGAGCTGTAGGCGCCTTAAACTTGAAGCTTGTGTCAACCATCCTGAACTTTGTGAGAACAGCAGCCGCGGATTCGTATGTAGCGTCGATAGATAACACACTTTCAACTGTGGCAAGGCTTAAATTTGCCGCGTAAAGTTCCGAGTCTTCTTTCGCCATATCAACAGCGTTTTTGCGGGCTGCTTTCTTGGCTTTGGGGGTTAACTTTGGCCCTCCTCGTGACCTCGGAGGACTTGCGATTTCAAACGGCGTGTCCTCTGTAGCTACCTCTAGGGGCGCGTTTGATGGAGTTTCATCGTTAATTAGTAAAGCTCCACAATATCCACGTGAGCTTTCATTGCCTATACCGCTCGATTCAATCGTTTGTGTAGACTCTTCAAGCTCTCCACAATGGCCCGTCCGGCCCGACCGACCCGACGCATCCGACTGACCCGACTGCCCCGACGGACCAGACCGCTCTGACAAGTTTGATATGTGATTATCCTCCTCTCTAGCCGTTGCAAAAGCTGTGACTTCTTCGTCTGGCTCTGAAACGCATGTGGCTGGTACAGATGTGTCTGGTGAGAGGTCCTCCGGATCGGGCTCGCCCACGGCTCGGGTAGGATCTTCGAATTCCCCTCTCTTGAAACGACCTGCCACTTCTTGAAGGTACTGCATGGCCTCTTGATACCGTGTCATACCCAGTCCAGCCATAGTGTCGCAAATTTCGGATGCAATAGGTAAGGCTTTTCTATACTTGCGATTTAAATCCCAAGGTCGATTTCGAGCAGGCAGAACATTATTCACTTCAACCGGCTTCGGTGTAGAGACGTGATTACTGGTACCGTTGTTTTCAATTGCCGACCGCACGGTAGATATTAGCCATCTCTTGTTTAGCGTGAGGGTCGGAATAACAGCTTCTTAGTCCAAGGCTTTGCGGAGATAAAATACGTGGCGGCATGGCAGCAATCGCGTGCACATGAACAGGCAAGAGCACGTCCAGTCGCACTTTGTAACGGAGTATTCAGTGTCGACCTCATCCAGTGCATCGATATCCTTGCACGTACTCTTTATCAAGTACACACCGGGCAGCCGCTCAGAGAAGGTATATGCCGCTCGTTCGAGGGCAAAATAATACTGCCCGTCAATAAGATCACAGGCGTGTGCGCTCACACTATTTGCCCGCCAGGTCATTTCGTCATCGTAATTTGGGTGCTGTACGTTCACGTTCTTCGTCACTTCACCGATGAACAATTTTTCTTGTAGCGTTTGATACTACACCATAGACTCATCGACAGCCATGAAAGAATCCACCCACGCTTTCAATTGTTTCCATGAGGCTTCCAGCCTGTTGTTTGTGTTATTTCCGAGTGTCACCGTATTTTGGCGCTTATACGCAGACCACATCTCACGGCAATTGTCCCAATTCCGGCGAAAGTACGCCACAAATGGGTGTTCTTCGCCGCATCGAACGGGTTCTCTCGTTGGCGTCCGGTCTGTACCCGATTTCGCATGCCCAACTGTGCCAGACTCACCCCCGACTGACCCCGATTGACGGTCGTCTAAGTTCGGTTCACTCCCAGTTGGCTCCGGCGCATTAGACGTTAGGACGTAATAGCCAATTGACGCGAGGCGGACCATGTACCGCAAATGCTTCTCGTATTCTGCTTCAGTCTTTGCGTACACCAGTAAACTCATCGCACCCCCAAGTTTCTCCTTCTGGGTCTTCGAAAATCCATAGTCAGCCGAGGCAACCTCTTCACGTAGGTATTTCAGTACGTGAAATTGGCAGAGCAAAATAGTCACTCCAGAAAAAGCTTCTTCCAATACTGAAATCTCCGTGAAATCCTTATCCACAAGAATACACTGCAGCCTTTTCCACGCTGGATTATTAACTTTTAATTCCTCCAGCGCCGTCAGTAAGGTAGTGTACCGCTCGTTTTGAAGCAAAGCGTGCTGGACGAACTGCCCCTTGCCAAACGTGTCATGAGCCATAAACGAAAAGACCTTGTACTTAGACCGATTCGTTCCGTGGGTGGCGTCAATCAAAAGAACTTCAGGAAAATGCTCGAACAGAGTCCTCATATGATGCATCTGCAGGGTGATGCAGGTCGCCACTTTCTGTATGTTCAAAACACGATAAACATAGAGTTAAGTTTTCATCTTTTCAATTTAACCCAAATTATTCACACCAGTTACCTTCTGATTTACATCGTCGAGGAAAATCCGACTAACATTACCAGGGCGGTCACCAAATTGCTTCATCCACTTCTTCAACCTTTTCACTAGTGCTCAGGCCATCTCGTAATTCCCGAGCCTTCAACTTACGAATAAGATTGTGGACATCCTGCGAAGTCGGGTTGCTGTCCGAGGTTTCCGTAATGTACTTCATGATACTCGACTTCTTAGCACCAGCCTGTCGAAGTACATCCACTGTCTGTAAAGCATCCTCATTCAGCACAAGACGATTTGTTGGATGTGCTGTAAACGAATGGTCCGAAAGCCGATGATTGTGTTCCAGTCGACATCTCGTTATCCTCACAACGAGGATCATCTTCTCAGAATCCACCACCTGAACACAAACATTTATCTACACATAATCAATCACATAGAGAGTGTTAAGACCTCATTCAGATTTCCATCCCGACCAGACCAGTCTCAATCCCGATCGAACGAACCCGACCAAGCCCGACCGAGCCCGATCATTCACTTTACCTGGGCATTGCATCCTTTCATCCTAGACTCCTGCGGGGGTCTCTTGCTCAAGGCCTGGGACTCAAATTTTTCCGGAATAGGTGCAAACAAAGGTCTTTGCGTATTGCACCCACTCGTCAGGAAGTTTTTCCCCCTTCGACTTGATGCGGTCGATCCGTGCGTTGCGCTCTGCCACAGTGGTATTTGTCCTCACCCTGAAAATTAACCGAAAAATTCATAGTGCATGTCAGCCAAAACGTGTATACACAGCTATATATTACATGTGCCTGGAACGTCTGTGCTTGATATACCGCCAGATAATCTTCAAACACCTCCCAGGAGGGAAACGCAACCTTCGTAGGCGTCAAGGCGAGTACGCGGACAGAGCTACCACCTTCGCTTGTGCTGCTGGTGGATTCCGGCGGATCGGAGCAGCTCACTGGCTCCAACGGAATATGTGTCGTATCAAGATCACTCACGACGGGGGAAGGCGCCCAGACGTCATCAGGAGGCGCATCCGAACTATTACTCTCGCTCTCGTCGGACTCCCACTCAGCTGAATGAGTAAGAGAGCGCTTTTGCGCTGCGCGCGTGCGGAGATCCATGTTTGTCGCTCACGCTCTCCCCGTTAACGAATTGTGTGGCTCACGGCGCTATACGATGTATACTGTTGTACGGATGAACCAGCTCGGTAAGAGAAAGGGATGCGTAGGGGGAAGAGCAACCCCAGTCGGGCAAGATACCCACTCTCTTTATTGTAATACATGTATTACAGGGAGCGAGCGCCGTGTACCTCTCTTTTAGATGATTATACTTATTTTAATAGGTGTAATTATCTTTTAAAAAGTACAATTTGGATAGGTTAATTACTTCTTCCTACATGTACTAAAAGTCTTTTGGCACATCAAATTCAGAGCGAAACTCACCAGCTGTGGGACGATTCCGTGTTTTTCCTCTGTGCTTATCCATTTTTACTAAAGGAAGTAATAATAATCCGATTACTCACAGCATCCGCTTTTCTTTCACTTAAAAAAGCTGAATTAATTCTTGCTTCCACCACAATTTACGTTGCTAGTTCACAAGCGGCAAAAGCTAACCGGATTTGCAAGTGTATGGAGACATTCCGTGAGATAGCATGCTGATAAGACTCTTATCATTAGAGAGCACTTCACAAACACACGAGGTGTCGGGTATGTCCTTCAGACTCTGAATCAGAGGCACTCTACCTGTGCTTCATTTCCGGATTCGCTCCATACTCCTCTCCTGCCAGCGTCCAATTACCATGAAGTCTGCTTTCACTCTTAGTCTCGCTCTTGTGGCCGTTACCGCAACAATATCAGCCGCTGCAGACGACAACTGCTCTTTTGGATGCCTCGACGTGTATAAGCCCGTTTGCGGCTCCAACGGCGAGACGTATTCCAACTCGTGCTACTTACGCCTCGCATCGTGTAAGAGCAACAACGGAATTACCGAGGCCGGAGATGGAGAGTGTGCATCAACGCCCGCGTCGTCGGCGACACCCTCCCCCGTCACATCAAGCACCGGCAGCACTAGCGGCACCGTGGGATGCCCTGACATGTGTCTTGACGTGTACGACCCTGTGAGCGACGAAAACGGTAAGGAGTACTCGAACCAGTGTTATATGGAGATGGCAAAATGCAAGGGAACCGGCTATGACGACAACAAGCGTTCTGGAAACCCTGGCATTTCTACGCTTGACGCTGAGCGCAAACTGGCGTTCGCGCCCGGCTACCAGGGTCCACCGTGTGGTGACATGCTGTGCCCTGACAACTATGCACCTGTGTGCGGCTCCGATGGAGAGACATACCCTAACGAATGCGACTTGGGTATCACTAGCTGCAACCACCCCGAACAAAACATTACGATGGTGGGTGAAGGGACCTTGCCCGTCACAGGAGCAGCAACAGCAACAGCAACAGCAACAGCAGAAGTTGTAACGAGATGGTAGCCACATAATTAACTAATTATGTGGATTAACATTGTGTGAGCTTGCTTTTCGATAAGAAAACATTTCGACAGTCTGATAATTATCTTGAAACTTATGGAGCTATGCAGGGCGTGAATAAATTGATTTAAGCAACCCCCTTGTTCTCGTTTGCTTAAGACCTGCACACTCGATTAAATCTCAATCGCGTGCAAATTTAGAAAACAGAGTGGGGGGGGGTTCATTCGGTTAAACAATTATGGGTCCGACGAGACCTGTAAAAAAAATTACGCATTGCGTGGCAGCAAGGAACCTCTGAAGTGAATAGAGAAAAGAGGGGTTAACATAGCACCGTTTGGCCCACTTAACCCTCTTGGGCCAAACGGTGCTATGGTAACCCCTCTTTTCTCTTTTCATTTCAGAGGTTCCTGACTGCCATGCATTACTGTAAAGCCAAGGGTGAAGCAACCGCTCGAGCGGTTGCTTAACATTAGTGAATAACTTTCACGAGTAAGCAAAACCTCTTGTAATATTTAGCTACATTATTAATAGTAGGAGGCGGCTTTGCTACAGCACTGTAAGTTTGGTAACGTGATTAGCAGTAAATGTATAATAGTCATAGTACTGTAAAATACTTACCGGTACTTACCGGTAAAGTTTGCGATTTTTAATATAAAAAATGTCTAAAACTTAATTTTGTTTGAGTGCTTAAATCTGTAATTTCTCGCAAGTTATCTTTCTGCTTTGCTTCAACTTCTCCATTTCGACGATGACGCGGCGCGCCAAGGAACGACGCATGGAACGCGTACACGCCAAGCTGCGACAACAAGAGGAGAAGCTGTTGCGGGACCAACGTCTGAGCTCCCGTCCTGCGTGGATCCAGCTACTCGCAGCCATCGATGGTCCTTCTCCTAACAGCAGCAGTAGTCTGCACGTGTCCAGCAGTGACAGTGACAGCCCCAAGCAGAAACCCCCGATCGTAGATGAGCTGCAGTGGAAGAGCTCCCAGGTGCCCATCGCGGCCTCGGGCGGCTTTCAGCTGCCAATCAAGCTTGATGCACGCAAAGGAGAGCTGCATTATTCGTTCTCCACGAGGGACTACGACGTCAACTTCGGCGTGCAAATGATCTGTGCGGACGGGAGTCTGATTGAGTTGCTGGATACGCGGCGTTACGAGAGCCAGAAGCAGCAAGTAGAAGGCCAACTCAGTCTCACGGGGCCAGGTATGGTGCTGTTATTGTGGGACAACTCGTTCTCATGGGTCAACACCAAACAGCTCGCCTATCACGTGGAGCTGAAGCAGGAGACGCTCCCCGTGTCGGAAGCGGAGAAGACCCAGCTGGCGCTGAAGGCAAGACTCGAACGCGAGCAAAAGTTGCTGCAGGTAGAAGGAGAATATGACGGACTGGAGACGCAGGTGCAAACCGAGGCGCAAACGATCGAATTCTTGCGTCATCAGATTGAAGAGCTACAGCTGCAGTTGAGGCAGCATGAAGAGGAGAGAGAGGTTATCAACAAGAAGAAGGATCAAGTGGGGGAACACATCGAAGAACTTTGCTGGGAGCTGCAAGGTACGGGCAACTATATATTTGTTCAATTGGTGAGTTATTGCTAAACGTGTGTGTGTGGGGTTATTATAGCACTGAGCTGGAGATGCTTAGACCAAGCAGCGCTGCATCGTATCCTTGATTATCTAGAAGAGAAAGACCTAATCGCATGGTGCGTTGTTGGACATCACATAAGTGTATGCAGATGATGTCGTTTTGGTTGAACTGACAATTACTTTATTGTTATTCTAGGTCGTTGACAAGCAAAAAGTGGTACGAGCTCGGACGCACGTATCGAAGCAAGCGGGACACTGCTGAGGCTAATGGCCAATCTTCTACGTGAGAAAACGTGTGCACATCCTCGTTCGAAGATCCAGACATCATGCATGGAAGTAGAACGACGTCACTTGTCATCCTTGCCCGTTGTGAGCTGCTCGATGGTCTCAAGAAGTTTTCTATCCACCATTTCAAATAGATTACCGTTAGTATGCGATAAATCATCATCCAGTAGTGCAAAACTTCATGTGCCAGCATCGTACTTAGCGGTCTCCATGTCAACCGAAGCTTTCTTCGAAAGCAAACCTGTTGGTGGCTCGCATTCTCCGACTCGGCGACCTGATTCTTCGGGTATTTCCAAGACTTCATCGATGTCTTCAAGTACCGTTGATCTTGATGACGAACCACCCCGGTGGGTATCGCCTATCCGACTAAGGCGCTGTTATTTCAGCACTGGACCTTAGCATACTTACTTAGGTAGGACATGTTGAATTTCATCTGCTAACTTACCTTTTGGGTAATCTTGAATTCCTCGTCAATTGAATTGGCACAAGTCTCCAACACTCGAAGACGGTGTGTCATTCGCTGCATATTATCGTACAGATCAATTAACGGGTTGATCCCACTTGGCACCTCTCGATCATCACTACTCAGACGTTCGTGGACAGGATAATGCTCTTGGTATGTGGTACGATATTTTGCCTTCAATACGTCATCGATATCTGCAGTATCCTTTTCTTGGCTTTGACTACTACTCATACTTATTGAACGCTGACCGTCAGACTGGTTTTCATCATGTCCATCGTCCAGCTTATCCTTTTGAAGCACGGTGGCACTTGGCATGATAGTGAGCGCAGTTGCGTCATTGTTGGTGGTTAGACCGGCCGCGTTCGGATCGCCAAAACCAGCCACTTGTAGATACTTCTTTTCCTTGAAATGAGACCCACCATTTAGATTAACCCAAATAGGATACTTGTCGGCAATGCTCAGGGGTAGCGGTGAGTTTCTTCGTCCGCCGTTAGTCAGGCCATGTTCACTCAGACGGCACTGAATTCCAGCACCCTTTTGCTGGGTGCTCACGTTGACAGACACAGAATGCGCAACTTCACACTCTTGTGTCATGGGTGATCCTTTCTCCGGTCCAAAGTCGTTTTGCTGTGTGCTCGCCGACGCACTTGTTTCTTTAGATGCACAAGCTGGCGGTACAACGGCCTCAATGAAGTCGTTTGCTTGTACACTTACTGTGTTAAGCTGTATCACGTTTTCAGGTTCTCCTCCAGCGTTTGTAGTTCTTGTTTCAAGTGCGCATGCCTTTACGCGCTTCTGGTGGACGAAGTGTTTTCTTTTTAATGAGATATTTTTATGCTGCTCGCTTCGACCTAGTAATTTAAGGCTCGCATCGTCGGCCTTGTACTCTCGGCGTAAGGCGTACACTGGTTCTCTAGGTAGGAAACGTTGCTTTTCGCTACTTTGTTCAGTCTTTGACGCTTTCGTCTTGACATCAGCGTGCTTCTGTTTATCGGGTCTTGGAGAAACGGGGCTTTGGGTATCAGTATCGGAAGTACTTCTAACATCATTTTCAATATGAGGGGGTCCAATTCCATTAGTAGTAGCCGATCGACCCGTTTCCCCAGTCATGTCACCAAAGTTTTCTTGCCGGAGTCGAAATAATTTAAGTACGTTCCGAACAGAGTCATGTCGTTGAACAGGCTTACGCGATGCATTTGCCTGTTGGCTAACGTTAGCGCTTGCTGATGAGTATCGATGTCGACTCGAATCGCGACCTTTAAGCGATACGTGTGCCATTATTTGATCGTCAGCTAGATCCACCACAGCTTCCGAGGTAGTATCGAGCTGTTCAGGTAGCAGCTTCGATGTCTTCTGAGCTAATTCCTCAGCCGGCAATTGGTTTCTTTCTTTGCTGTAGGGCTACATGGTTACACGTGGTGTACCACACCACCGCCACGTCACCGGCGTGTGGTACATGGTACCACTCACAAGGTGGAGGGATAATGATCGGGCGATTTTAGCAATTTTATGAGAGCCGCCAGTTACAGTAGCCTAAAAAATGAGCTATCCCACGTACGGGATAGTTAGCAACTTGATTGGGAAATGGTGTAGAGGCAGCATATACTTCTAAGTACGGTTCTGAAGTACGTAAAGATATAGCACCTATAGAAACTAATAAAACTTCCGCTTTGTGACAAAACTATAGAAAATAATAAATCTTCCGCTTTGTGACTCATAAATTGTGAGGGTTTAGCGCTACTTCCTTAAGAGAGAGCTTTATTTTTGAACCAAAAAGACTTGCTTTTGTACCGTGATACTGATGTATGGACTGCTCAACTAGCGTTTGACCAATCAGCATGAGATTTGTCCTAAAGCCTTGTGATTTTAATTGTAAACCCACCCGTAGGAAAAAGATGGCCAATCATTTTCGTTTCCCCTGGTCTGTTTTAGTGGCGCTGGGGCCTCGTGCAGGCTCAGCGTCTCGAGCTCAGTTTTAGAACCCAGAAATAAACGCCAAGTCAAGATCACCACCATGCTATCCCTCACAATTGGCGCTTTACATACAGTCTACGTGGCGAGTCGCGCACCAATCGAAAACAGGACGCCCTGCCGTCTATGGGTGTGATTGCAAGTCAGCTCAAGCACTGTACTGTGTGTAGTAGCAACCTCGATCAGCATCATATGCGCTACCGTATCTACTGCTGCAAGTCCGAGCCCTGCTCGAGCGCACTTATCTCGTGCAAGTTTAAGCTGAAGATCTTGACCTGCGAGAGAACGAAGCAGAGCCATCTTAATCAGCACGATGACCACTTTGCCGTCAGCGCTCCTGACCTGCGTCCGCAACTCTCTCTTGAGATGAAGGCGGCTATCCGTGAGCTAGTGGCAAAGGATGTAAAGCCCGCTCGCATCCGCAACGAGCTGGTTGATAGTTTCAGGCTATCGACCGGAGCAGTGCCTGCTCTAAAGCAGATCCAAAATTTTGTCTACAACTACAGACGAAGCAAAATGAAAATACCGACGGCGTAGAGGATATGGAGGAGATTGCTGCTGAATCACAATTCTTTGATGGTCTACCTGATACTACGCCATTCACGCTCGGGTACCCACTAGACGAGGACGGGGCTCCGGATCTTGAAAACGGAAGTGACGACAAACCATTGCTGATTAGAGTCACGACGCAATTCTTACTCAAAGCGACCGCGTGGGATCCCGAAGACTTTGTACTTCATAAATACGCGACGTTTAGGCTTGTGGCGTGTGGATACCTACTCATTGTCTGACGCTGCTAGGCAGTTTTGCTCAGTTTCTACTGGAAGGTGAATCTAGCCGTCCAAGTGAATTTCATTGTCGAAGTTGGATCGACACGCTAGACAGCGTCAGGAATGCTGAAGATGGCGAGCGGAACAACCATCGCATGGAGCGACTCGGACGGCCTATTCTCGGGTGGACGTATACCTCAACACGACGTGTCGATGCAGAGCATTCTATAAATTTGGTGCGTGCGTGCACCTGTTGGCATCTCTGAATCACGCCAGCCGGAGGGTCGCTCGATAGCCACATACGGTGCGCCGGCTTGCTGCTAGATGAATTAAGCGGTCTAAGCCCTTGACTGGAACGAGGAAAGGAAGGCTTTCTCGCGTTTCACACTCTCTCTCTGCGTGGGCTAGTTTAGACCTTTGCTTGTAGCCCAGAAGACATATTTTTGCAAGTAGTAATAAGCGTCCTTCTAAATCCACTTGTTAGCAATATCACTCAATTCAATACACAGTAGAACATCCGTATAGTGCGTTACATACATCATTAACAGCGATGTTTAATCTTGGTGACGTGGGCTGCAGAAGTACTTGAGCACATTGTTTGTATTCTTTGTTCCTAGTACAAACCGTAAACGTACTGAGACTGACAGAACCTATGGCGTTTGCTACAAGGTGATCTATAGATAATGGAGATCATCACTAGTACAATACTTCCATAGCTTTTTCGACGCACAGATCTCAAAATTGATAAGAGGGCTGCAGAACGTCGGTAAAGTTTTTGAGCACTGCCGATCTCAATAGAAATTAAAACTTGTCGAAAACTAATCTATACAGTTAGCTGCTCTATACAAATAGTGCAGGGACCGGTGTAGATAATGAATCTGATTTTAGTTTGCGTAGATTTCAAAACTACGACTAGGGCTGCATTTTGTCCGGCAAAAGTAATGCAGAACATCAAAAATGTCAATTGACGTTGCCTCAACAATAAAACTGTCTCGATATGTTAATCACTTTGTCCAATGTGTGGCATAATCCAAATAAATTAATTGTTGTTTCACGCCTTCTCGGACATATAGCGGAATGTTATGTTGTCATCCAAATGTCGCAGAGGTGCTCGGTATCGGTTGGGACTTTTTAGTATCCTCGACAGCCATCCACATCGCTACATGCCTGTCGGTATACCAAAGCCGGTGCTTCACGCTACACAGCTTTTTCCCACGAGAGCTCGTTCGTAATATATCGATCCATAGACCTTGGGATTTTTTTGTAGACCTCTAGAAGATTGTATCGATTAGGCCCGTAATATCCTGTAGCAACAGTACTGCGCAGCTTGTCAATATAATTGGACATCATACTACCGTTAGCGAAGTAGCTAAGCTGGATCACGACTAGGAAGCGGGCACCGGACGCCGAACAAAGTTAACGCGGCGGAGTAAGCCGGCGGACTGGAGCAGTGGAGTACGGCAAGACCAGAGGGCAGGGAGCGCAGCGCCGTGAGACCAGGTGCTGCGGAGTACAGCGCGGTCGTTGGACTGGGGCAGTGCAGCGCAGCGAGACTGGCGGACACGTGCTGCGCAGCGCAGCAGGCTCGGCGGACTCGGCTGCTTGTGTTTTGGTAAGTACTGCCAACAAAACGTTGACGGTGCGACAGCTTTGTGTAGAATACATAACCTGCGACACACGCTCTAAGCCTAAACGTCCTCAGTATAAAAATCAGTCGCTGCATGAAATGTCATACTTGCATGCACAAAAGTCACTTTTTCTCCTTCTTTAATTACTTCATATTAAGCATTCCTGCTATGCCACTCGTTCGCTGAGCACAGACCTTTGCACAATTTATAACGGTTTTTTTGTCAGTGCATCCAAGTGCTCTATCATTACGATTTTCCGGCAATTTGTATTGTAGGTCAAATTAGAGCCGCTTTTAAAATATTCAGCTCTAAAATCAACTCATCCCTCAGATGTAACGGGCCTGGGGTGTCCGTTACTTGCTTACACGTAGTGATGAGGAAGCGTACAAGTCCAGTGATACTGAAACCAAGTACTTAGTCTGAAGGAAAATCAACTCTGTTTTTATTTAGGTCCAGGGCAGCTTGCCCTGACCACTCAAATACACGTCAACGCCTTATTGGTTGATTATGGGTCTGGCTCCCCATATTTCAACCAATAAGGTGACGGCAGTTCAGCACACGCTACTCGTGTGCTGCTGCACCTACTTTTGTAATGCAAATCTACCTACTTATGTAATGGTGTGAAGCACTACAAAGAACCTATAAAACTACCTACATATGTAACTTGGGAGAGCCCATTATATCACCCCCCTCTTAAGACAGCAATCACCTAACGGGGGTGCGCTTCGGAGAACAATCGGGAAAAACTGGGAAATGGCGGAGAAGAGAACGCTTGAGAACTTGACGGGCGGGAGCTCCTGCGAAGCCCAGGAGCAGTACAATACAACTTGCGCGGACGAGAACAACATGGCGCAGCAGACGGGGGCGGCGAACCAGACAGGAAGCGGAACAACGCGGACGGCTCCAGCGTCGGCGACGACGCTGAACAGTGGGTGGACCGCTGATATCGCACCTGAGAGCGTGAGTCGACTTGGGGTTCGGCCCGGCGTAATGAACGAGGATATGAAGCCGTGGGCGCTGTACGACTTGTCCGGGGCTGTGACCTTGGACGCGTTGGACACCATGCAGGACCACTTTCGGCGCTTCAGGCGTCTCCGGAACAAAACACTCGACGGCGCGACGTACGAAGCTTTGCAGAGATCATGGTGCGCATTCATCCGACGGTGGAATCGGATGCATGAGGCTGGAGAAAGTGTCGTCGGCTGGCTCGGTGATCGCGAAGCCCTACAAGCCGAGCATTCACTCGGTGATCTGCGCCTGAAAGTCTGCGACGACGCTTGGACCGAAGACCGTTTGTGCTATGTCAACG